ATCCATGAATGAATTGGTTGATGTTAAGGACAGCAGATGGGTCGTATACACCGGGGAGGCCATTGCTGAGAATGAAATGCACACGGAGATAATTGTTAGCTGCGGTCCGACACGCCGGGGAGAAAGAGTGTAAACGACTGAGGCTCGCATACATCACCGTTACTAGAACTGAGGCAGAATGAGTGACAAGCGATTTCAGTGGTAATTGGTAGTGAGTAGATAAGAGGATGTGCGTAGAGTATCGTGAGTTGGTGCTATGGTCACGTTGCATTCTGCAAGAGTCATTCTAGCAAGTGGCGATTGTGTTGCAAGATGTCAAGAGGAGGTCTCTGTCTGGAGGCGCAGGTCGTCATTGATGTGTGAGATTGTGTTGTGAGTATGCTTGCGGTGTGTTGGCTTTTCTGTTTGTTTTCCATTTCAGCTCTGTCCGTGTGACCCAGGTTCTCGCAATGGCATCCAAGTCAACGTGTATTGGTCGTGAAGGAATAAAGGGTTGGATCCGTATTTTGCCGGGGAGTGTAAATAATAATAATAATGATTTACTTTATTCCAAAAACAGTACTTGTGATACAGGTTGGAATTTTCAGCATTAATCACAATATTGCATCTAATTTCCTCAAATTATAAATAAAATTAATCACACAGAAAATTTCCCACATTTACAATAGAGGTAGTGTCAAAAACATGCAGCATATAAAGTGGAAATAGCAATAATAATGATAACAGCTAGGGTAGTAATAATAATAATACAAGTGAAAATTGCCGTTGGCTTGTGTCACACAGTATTGGCAATGTGGTATAGAAATCCTAACATGTTTAAAAATATTGAATATAATGTTCTCTTTACATGATATGATGAAGGAAAAAGAAAGATTACAGCCGTCATGGAGATAAGTTGGTGTTTGCAATTATGAGAGTAAAACAGAAAAGTAACAGGACCATAAATGTAATAGAAGTAATAAAAGTAAAACTTGAAGGTATGTAAGGATGGATGGAGGAAATTGTTTATTTACTAGATGAAAAAGGTTAGTTAATTCTTGCCTGACACTATTTTCATCACATAAAATACATGCCAAGTATGGTATCATAGAATTCTTATACTTAGACGTGCGAGCATACAGTTTTCTGAAGTTACTCCTTGTTCTACCTGAGAAGATGCAAGGTGAAAGCTGAGGGTAAAGCGGATGCTCCAAGTCAGACAAAATGCCTTTAGCAAATTTATTGCACAAAGCCAAATGCCTATCGACAACGACGTTAACTATGTGGTCCACTGGGACACCACTCACTCTACTGACAGTCTTCAGTATTCTACGAATTGTGACATAGTCTTTTTTAAGCAAACCAGGAAAGAATAAGGGTGAGCAATAAAGAAGAATAGGTAGGATGCAAGAGTTTACGAACTGTAGGATGAGGGGTTGAGTTATACCCGAGTGTCTTAACTTCTTAATGTACAATGTCAGGTAGAATATTTTACTGGAGATTGCTAAGACATGGGAAGACCAGGAGAGATCAGAAGAGAGAATAAGTCCAAGATACTTAGTTTCTGATTTGATTCCAATATCATTGTCGTCAATTTTACAAGTGTCATGAGAATCGATGACTTCTTTTAGCTGTCGTTTACATCTTAAGCTGAAATCAACAGTTTGACACTTAGAAGGATTCAGTTTAAGACCGTTAGACTCAGACCATTTGCTGACTTCCGATAGAAAGCTATTTATTTTAGTACAGTCTAGCTGGGAGTTAACAGCCATTGAAACTGTTAAATCATCAGCATACTTCACAAAGTTTATTTCATCAGAGTGAGGCAAGTCGTGCAAGAAGAAAGATTAAAGAAAAGGAGAAAGAACAGCACCTTGAGGGACACCAGCTTCAGTAGGCAATGAAGTGGAGGACTTCCCTTTATATACGGTGTACTGCTTTCTATCTGAGAAATAGGAGTGCAACCAGTTAACAGCCCAACATTCTGTTTGACTAGCAGCAAGTTTATTTAATAAGATGTCCCCAGGGACCGAGTCGAATGCAGATGTGTAGTCTAGGAAGGCGCAACGAACAAATTTAGCCCCCTTGTCTAGACTGGAAGCAATGTTATGATATAAGACGGCAGCTGCATCTAAAGTGCTTCTACTGTGCTTATAGGCAAATTGTTTAGGGTCATTAAAGGATTTAAGCGAAGGTTCAAGACTAAGTAAAAGTAATTTCTCCATAGTTTTCAAAAAAGGAGACGTAATGGCACTGGGTCTAAATTTGACACATGCTCCAGTAGAAGATTTAGGTATGGGTACAACTTTAATGTCCTTCCAAACGGCAGGCACAATATTATCGGAAAAAGATTTGTTAAATAGATCAGTAAAAGGGTGACACAGAATATCAGAACATTTTTAAAAAATAATACTAGGTACATAATCGGGACCTAAGCTCTGGGAAGGGTTTAGAGACTTGAGGCACTTTTGAACATCATTTGTGCTAAAACCTGGAAAGGGGCTATTATTAACACAAGTGATGCTGGGAAGCATGGCATTTGAGGGAGAGTAAATAAAAGATTTGTTAAGAGTACATACATCAAAAGAATATGGAATATTGTTTATCTGCTTACCACCAGTGATTTCCTTAAATAGTTTCCACATATTAGAAGGATTTTTGCAGAATATGAATTTCTGGTTATATATTACATTCAACCTCTGCATTTCAGACTTAATTAAGAAGTTAGTTCTTTTTACACCAATTTTATCTTTGATTTTATATAGTTTTTCCTTCTCTCTACGAAGCTTTTTAAGTTGAGGCGAGGAGAAACGGTCAAATTTGACGAATAGTGTTTCTTTTGGACAACAGATTTCAAAACAGAATTTCAGATAGGATGTAATATTAGAGATATTGTCATTAAGTGAATCAACATTAAACAAATCCCATCTTGTGTCACTGAGCATGTTTCTAAGATGATGTACGTTCTCATTTGAGTAGCATCTGTGAACAACTTTCTTAGACAAGTTTGAGAGGGCTTTACTGTGTAACTTTCCGTAAATTTTGGGTAAGACTCGTACAATACAATGATCAGAATTGAAGAGTGGGGGTCTTTTACGAGCTTCGTATATTCCAGAATCATTTACGAATACTAAATCAAGTGAAGTATTTTTTCGAGTTGGGAAATTAACAACATCTGCATGGCCCAGCAATGTAATAAAACTGCAGTCGCTGGAGTTGAAGTCGCCGGTCACTATAGATAAGGAGTTACCAAACGAAGCAGCAGCAAAAATAGTGAATTCATCAGCGAAGATAGATAGTTCTGAGGGGCTGCAACAAGGTGTGATATAGATATTTGTGACAAAAATGGAGTTGTACTTAGGTAAGTGTTTAGGTCGACATTTTACAGTTATACAGTCAATATTGTCATTTGAGAATTTGAAGCAGACGTTGTTGGCAGTAGACCAGTGAGAATTAATAAAAGTGGCAACACCACCACCTCTCTTCTTCTTCGAGCTGCATCGGTCTTGTCTGTAGATTGTGAACCCACTTAAGGAGACTAAATTGTCGTCATATGAATCATGGAGCCAGGTCTCTTGAAGAGTGATTACACCAGTATTACAATATACATTTGAGTATAATAGAGAATGCAAGTAGTTAATCTTGTTCGATAATGACCTGCAATTTGTGCTCATAATCACAGGAACAGTCATCTGATGCATTGGAGTACACTTTAATGATCTCTGCCAACCTCCATGATGCTTTTTCTTAAGGTTATTATATACTCGTAAATCAAAGGGTTGAAGACATTTTAAATAATCGCGAGAGTAAGTAATGCGACTTGGATACATAATTGAATGATTAAAACAAAATAAATCCGAGGAAATAGATGCAATATGTAGGATGGAAATTTTGGTAGCCCAAGATTTAAGCAGGCCGCCAGATGGAGTTGAAGATTGAACGATCAATTCTTGGTTGTTTGCTTAAAATCAACTTCCCCAATTTTCGCGGAGGCATCAATGCGACAGTCATCGTCTCATCGGTCGCTGTTCAGAAAGAAGTCAGGAGACAACCATCAGAAGTAATATTGTGATTCATTATTGCAATATTTGTTCACAGACTTTAGTTGTAACAGTGTTTATATGTTGGTGTTACAATAAAGAAATCTCAAGCGGCAGATCGGTGTTTTGGTTTTTTCCTCCATTATAACTAAGCGTTTCTGAAAACTTCAAGGAACAGCGTGGGCCCGAGCGTAGCGAGAGCTGGGCATTAACGGTTTATGAGACGTGATTGACAAGAGCGGTAAACGAAGAGAACATTTGCCGCATAAGTATTTTAATCATTTATGTATTTTAATGACAATCTAATTGCAAGTATTGAACCTACATAATTACTAAGTATTATTATGTTAGTCTGGGAACTAGTGTACTTTTTGTAGTTAAATATTGAAATGGCATTGTCTCTCCACTCTACTAGCAGTTAAGATCTTTGAGGTGGACTAGGGTGGACATGTTAATATGTTTTTCTAGGCTCCTTTTGAAACTCTCAGGCCTTTCACAGGATCTGATCTCAGAGGGTAGTTGGTTCCAAAGTTTGCAATATTTAGTGGTGAAGAAGTTAGCTCTAGTGGTGAGTTTATGGGTGTTAACCTTGAGAAGGTAGTTATGGTTGCGTAGTCCATACGATTTAGGATTAGCCAAGGTTATGGACGAGTTACTGTTACAGTGCTTTCTTATAACTTTGAATAAGAGAAATAAATTGCACTCCACTCTCATTAACCATAAGGGCTCTAAGTCCAGTCGAATACATCTGTCAAGGTATTCTATTTGCTGACCATAGCCTAATATGAGTTTCGTGAGGAATCTTTGGACACTTTCAACTTTTTTTCTGTCTGCTGATTTAAAGCTACTGTATAAGTGGGCACAGTATTCAAGTTTGGGGCGAATGCATATCTTATATATGGCTAATCTGGCTTCTGGAGTGTAAAAGTTGCGTAGCACAAAGCCGGTTAGACGTTTACAATCAGATACCACCTTATTTGCATGTTCAGTAAAGGTAAGATCTGAGTATGTTATCCCGAGATCTGTGAATGTGTTCGTGTTTGAGACAAGGTCACCATACATGTGTAGACACATGCTAGGTTTCCAACGTCCGAAGTATGTTATCTCAGACTTAGCTGGATTGAACGTTAACTGCCATTCTTCGCTCCAATTACATAGACTATTTAGGTCTTGTTGGATGTTACTAGCAATATTCATATCATTATAGTCGAAATCATAGACAACTTTGAGGTCATCTGCAAAGAGGTATGGCTTGCCATACTTGATCACAGAGACAATATCATTTATGAATACAATGAATAGGGTAGGGCCAAGAACACTACCTTGTATCACGCCGCTGGTTATCGGCTTGGATGTTGATAAGTAATGGTTGACTTTAACTAACTGTTCTCTTCCTGTAAGAAAGGAAGTTATCCACTCAAGAAGCCTTCCACTTATTCCATAAGGTAGGAGTTTCAGTATGAGTCTGTTATGTGGGACTTTATCAAAAGCTTTCCTAACATCTAGAAATAATGTTGCTGCCGAACGACCTTTGTCTACACATTCAGTAATGTGGTCGAAATAATCTAACTGGCAGGTAATGCACGATCTTCTATTTAGGAAACCGTATTGGAAAGGGAATATTAAGTCATTCGAGAGCAAATACTGAACAATTTGCTTCTTTACAATCTTTTCCATCATACGTGAAACTACGGAAGTAATGTTGATGGGGCGGTAATTATCTATGTCCGCTGTAGGTCCGGTTTTGTGAATGGGTACAACGTAGGATTTCTTCCAGGTATTTGGATATGTTCCACTCCTTATCGAAGTTGAAAATATCTTGAGAAGAAGTCGAGAGGACGAGGATGACCTTCAAATAACTTATCCATCCAATGACTTTGAATATGTGGGATAAGTTGCATAAATGCTAAAATAACATCCGTCATTACGATCCAACTCCTTGTATCACTAGCGCGAACTCTGAATTGATCCGTCAAGGTCATTTAGATCCGATCTGCCTGGTCAGACGCTACCTGCAAAGTCGTTCTGCCGAGTGAGTGGTGCCTGTGATCCCGTTTTAGACATTATTTTGTGTGCAGGTGAGGCGTTTGTATGGAGTTAGCTGATTTACACTATAGGTAGCAGTTTCTGAAACCAGCCCAGTCGGAGAAAAATGGGCAGACAATGGTTAAAATGGGCACAACTTTTGGCAGATGGTAAGAGTGGTAATATTATGGGCGAATTTTGCTCAAAATAGGGGAATATGGCCTAAGTCGAGCTTAAAATGGGAAATTAACGGTTAAATAATGAAAAATACTGGTTATAGGAAATTATAGGATAGCACTGGCTCAGTAAAAAAGAATTTTTGGTTGAATTTCGGTCATTTAACCAAATTTCATTCATTTTCTACTATTATTAACGATACCCATTGTTAAGCTTTACGTTCACCATTTTCTTCTGATTGGGTTGTTCTAAAAGTTTTTCCACAATGTTAAGAACTAGTATTTTGACTCATGTCATCAAAATCAGTTGTCATTATTATTGTTATTTTTGTCTGTTTTCATTTCTCTCCAGGTACATCACTAAAAGGTGACTCAGACTATTCAGTTGTTTGATCACTTTATTTATTAGTGTTATCTGTAACGGAAGCATGAGTCCGAAAATTCGCGACCATATGAGACTCTTCTTATTGAGCGTCCTAAATGAGGACCCCGGGCTATTATCGTAAGTTCTGTTTCGTGAAGTTTATACGTTTTATCCGAAGTTTATGCACACTGAACGAACTGATATCTGTTTTTGTACAAGAAATGAACATTAGTCTGGATGAGAAAGCGTGTGTAAAATTAAAAAATGCTATATGCTCTTTCTTTTGTGATTTAATAAATGAAGAGGTAAAATGGTTCTTCTTATTTTGCATGAAACTCAGGGAACTATAAGTGTTTTGGATCTTGAGAATCAAAACTGTGTGCCAGTTAAATGTGCTGTAAGTCTACATGTCTTTTATACTAGACTGTGTTAATTTTTATGATTTTTTAACATGCACCTACTGTGAGAAGAGGTGTCATATAGTATTTGGCATGTTCATAAATGTTCGGATTCATGAAAAGACGGATATTCGATATATATATCTCGAAAAATATCCATTTAGTCATAAGTAAAAACACAGTTTTTTTGCTCAGCGAAGAAATTTCTTTTCAACGACTTCATTTTCAAGCTGTACAGTCGTATTTATATTACAGAAAAAGGTTACTAAGTGGCACTAAATAATTGCTCAGTCAATGTACGTATATATGTGATAAAAGTAACGAAAGTTATAAGGGGTAGGGTTGAAGTGGACAAATTACAAAAATATTAAAGATTGTTTTATAAGTGAATTGATATCAAAATTGTCAAGTGTTGTCTAAAATTTTGGAAATTAGGAGTACGATTACGATAAAAATGAAGATGTGAAGTGAAGTGGAAAGAATTCAAGTGGTAAAATAAAATAAAAGCTAGAAAGAACATTACTATGACCAAGGTAAAGAAAGGGGTTTGACAAAATGCTTTTGAACACAATTTAGGTTTCTGTTCATGTATAGCTAAAGCTTCGGCTATGCATAAGTCAAGAAAACGCAAACTTAATGAATCAGTTATGCGAATTGGATTAATTTCACTTATATTACTGTGCCTTGTGGACGAAAAATGATGCTCTATGTTTGTTAATATGGCTTTCTTGTCACGAATCTGTTTTAAACTCAGTTACCAGGCTTACTGAATGAAACCAGTGAGTTATGCTTCCTAATGCACATTTTCACTTTGTTAAGTCTCTGACCTGCATTCGTTAGTGAGAATCCTCGAGGTAAGGGAACAAAAGTTCAGTGTTTACGATTAGTGTAGATTCACATTTGATATTTCAAAGAACAGATTTTCGGCATATGTTGCAACTTACGGGTAATAACCATCTTCATCTTAGTCAAGTAATATCGGACTACGAAGTTATGTTGTGATTCTGCTACGTTGGAACAGTTCTGTGGAGATAATTGTTGTTGGATTACTTCAGTTTGGAAAGTCTGGAAACAGCAGGCAGAACTAGTAACACTAGTATTATACCTCTAACTTTCTCAGTGAAGCTGGTGTAACAATGAGGTCAAGAGTCAAAAGGTTTGACATTTGATTTATATACTTTTGGAAGTTTCATCTTTCACACAACAACCTAAGTACGCGAGCTTTCCAATTGCTGTTTACGCCTCGCTTCCAGGGTTGAGTGCAAGATAAATGTTTCTGTTAATAAAGCAGTTTATACTGCAGTAGTGCAATATTACAATACATGCAGATATTCACTGCAAAATGATCGAATGCGGTCTGTATATCCTCTATTCTCCCACTTTATAGAGATATCGTCTAGAAACTAAACACTTATCTTTTTTGGAAATGCATCTATCTCACTACGATGCACTTCAGTGTGTCACTCCAAACAACGTTAAGGGTGATTCCATTTGTTTATTAGATATATCGCACAGTGAAGCGGTAGTATTTACTGGATGACGTTTCGAACATGATTTATTGTTCATAATCATATCAGTTATAATCACACAACTTTGAAACTTTCGTTTTACAGTTTTCTTTATTCTATCATATTTGTCGTAGTGGTAGTAGAATTTTCCAGATGTCTGGGATGGGTGTTGAATAATTTCTATCTAGATTCTGTCTGTCTGGATTCAACATAGAACTTGGCACCGAAGTGCAGCAGTTCGAGTTGTCACGTTCCAAATAGCACACAAAGGTAGACAAAAAGATTAGTGAAGTTTGACAGGTATAAGAGCAAAACAGAATGGGTAATGGTAGAAAGGAATATGAAAGATTACAGGGAATGAAAACATCTGCGCCATTGACAACGATTTTGAGCCATGTCACCTATTGTCTCCAGCCATTGATTCCTAGAGTCCCGAGGGCCCCAACCTGGAAGTCTGCATCTACCTACCTACCTGACTCAGTTTAAATGTCAAGGATTTCATGGATTGATGAGGCCATGTTTTTGTTTGGCTACCACTTACCCTTTTCCAACCTGCACCTCTATCAGCTAGTATTGCCTGTCGGGGGAGGCGATGGTTAGGTATGCGCAGCACGTGACCTAGCCATCTCAATCTATGTAACTTTATAGCCCCTTCGATTGATTTTCCTTCTTTGCCCAACACTCTACGCCTAACGTCAGCATTACTTACCTTATTAAACCACCTGACGTGAGAAAGAGATCGCAGACATCTATGATCGAAAGCAGTCAACCTTTTCATGTCTTCAACTCATGTTGGCCATGTTTGAGCCATAGAGAAGGACGGAGCGAACTGATGAGCAGTACACATGTCCCTTGGTTGATAGCCGGATTTCACACCTACGCCAGAGATGTTGTAAGTCAGCGAAAGCAGCTCGAGCTTTTTGGATCCGTGGTGAGATTTCGTCGCCAATCAGTCCATTGGTGCTGATACAACTTCCCAAATAGTGAAGTGGTCAACATGTTGTATCACTTCACTCCCTATCACTAAGCTAGGAGTTGACGTAGTCCAGTCCTGTAGCAGCCAGCACCTTACATTTTGCAGGGGCGAATCGCATGCCAAACATACGAAGATTGTTGCTCAAGGTGTTCAGAAGACTCTGCATTTGTCAGCATCCTCCCCTGACAGGACTATGTCATCTGCATATTCCAAGTCCATAAGACTACTCCCTGGTAACAAGCCGATTCCTAAATCGTTACGTTCAGTTAAGGATACTTCCATTAGCATATCTATGATGAAGTTAAACAGAGATGGGGAAAGTTGACATCCCTGTCGGACACCACTGGTTGTTATCAATTCAGATGGCAATTCCCCATAAGCCCTTACACGACTACGTGAGTTTCAATAGAGTGCTTTGTGCTTTCTTGGTGCCGATATATTTAGGAGACTATCAGTGGTGGTTTTTTGGCTTCCATCGTTTTTAGTGGACACAGAGTGAAGAGGAAGTGAGGAGCCATCAAGTAGAGGAGTTGCATCAGTGGAAGGAAGGCAAGATAATAGAAATGAAAATGAAGACAAAGATGAGTGAGGATTAGAGAGGTTTCGTGTGCATTTCGGATTGTGAGGGCGAATGTTACTTCCCGACTGCCCGCACCATGGAAGTTGGTTGCGTGACCGCAGAGCCCAGGGTACAACTATTTGAGGCCGGTCACACGCGGCCTGTTTTGTTTGGTGTGTCTCAGTAGCATATTTATCACTTCTGCCCTGTGACACGGAAGCAGGAAGCGCGGTCGTTGTTAATCCGGGCCCCGACCGATCCGGAATGATTGGGTAGCTGCCTTTTGTCTAACCGCTATCCAAACATGGTATCCAAACTGGCATGGTAGGACCTCAAGAGGCATAAGTCTCAGCCAGTATAGCTTGATTAGGTCATTGCGGTGTTCACGCCCGACCACCACGTCAAGGTAGCAGCTTTAGTTTACTCTAATAAAATAAGAAAACTAGCAAACACCTCAGCCATAGCACTACATGCAGTTACACACAACCATATGATAGAATGTTATAAAGTGACAGTTTTGAAATTTAACGCAACAAGGTGGAGGGAGAGATTGATAATGGAAGCTTTGTTTGTCGAATCAACTGCAAATACATGTAATGGGAATGATTCAACACCTATCCCAGATATCTGGAAAATTCTACTACCCCTACGACAAATAAGGGAAGACAAAGAAAACTATAAAACTCAGGTTTCAAAGTTGTGTGATTACAATTGATATGATTATGAACAATAAATTGTGTTCGCAACGTCATCCAGTAAATAATGCTGTTTCACTGTGATATATTTAGTCAACAAATCAATCTAGAATTAAATACAACCACAGTGCCCACGTTTTACACATATTAAAGTTAAGGGTGAATGATCCTTCTATTTTATATCAGTGGTGAATATTTTGCATTATTACACAACTGGTTGCGAAAGCTTGGTGCCGCATGATATTCTTCCCTCAACCAGTATTCTTGATGGTTTGTCTAGAGTCCTGTTGTAGGTTTCCACTGAAGTAAATTTTGTAATCACAACACTGAGTTTGAAAGTGAAATCACTTATATAAAATTCCTTCATTAAACGATTTGTTCGTTAATTCGTTAGGTCTAGCGGGAAACGGGTTCTTGCATTCCCCTGTGTAACTAAGTTTGACTCAGTACACAAAATAATGGTTTTAGAGATGACTGCATGTTCGGAATAAAGTATTCACCTTGTCTCTATAAACTGCCTATGGTTTCCAGTCTCCGAAAATAAAGGAGAAATGCATTAGCACAGTAGATTGTGAGCTCGTCGCATGGTATCTCTTTGAAGAAATATTTGTATTAGACCTGCTTTTGAAGCTTATTCTTTTCTCTGGCGCATGATTGTAACTGAGGGTTTATAGGTTTAATGTCGCTCAAGGTATACCAATGATTTTGCAATTAGTATAGGTCAGCTCTCAGGAGAGTAAGTAGGCAAACAACCTCATAATCAGCAGGTAACAAATACATTCACATAATTCAAGAATTTACTTCTGTCTGTGTTCGATGGAATATAATAAGAAGTTGGTAGATAACTTCTTAGTCTATATTTTCCTCTTATAGGAGTGAAATTTATTCATTGTAGTGGAGTGCAATTCCATATAGGTAAAATTTTAAAAAATGGCACATAGTGGCGCAACTAACTGCTGTGTTTTTCACTCATCGTATAAAGATAATCACACTAATTTTTATATAGTTGTATGTTAATTAGTTTTAATTAGTAACCCGATTCTTCACGTCTCCAGATTGAAGGTTGAATCGTTCGTGCTCTGCGTTACATATTTATTTGATAAATTCAGTAGTCAATCTTTCTCCATTTAATTTCATTCGGTTTTTAAATTTGTACCGTATCTTACCTAATTATGGGGTTATGGACAGATGGTCGCGTCTCTAACGTCGAGTTTTTTCTATGTGTGGAGCTTGTAGTTTAATATTCTTGTTTTTCTGTATCTTGACAGACTTTCATAGATTGTTTGACCAAGCTGACAATCCTTACCTGGTATTCTATGTTTTTGATTTAAATATGGTAGATGTACCATACAGGGTGAGTCAATATGTTCCTAAGGCCATACATCCTAGCTGTTCATAAAGATATCGTGTGATGGGAGATGTTAAAGGACCTATCTCGATTTGTGTTTGTTTATGTATTTCGTTTTGCAATTTAAAAACTAGAGGTCTAGTTTAAGTGTACCCTTACATAATTCCCTGATCAGAGTTCATCTCTCTGTGCATCTGTAACCATGTTAATTTCTTCTGTCAATACAATATTTTCATATTAAACATAAAGAATTTTCTTTTTGACTAATCTAGCCTGCTGTATCAGACAATGGAAAACATGTTGTAATGCTTTCTCGTGAAGAAGTAATCAAACTAGCGGCTGCTACAGTTTCTGATAAAACAAATCCTGTAGTTTCATTGTCGAAAGATGGAGAAAGTATCAGCCAGCGAATCAAAGTAGGTTGTCATTTATTTATTTTTGTCTTACATTTGTCTTTTTTTAACAGTATTTGTTTAGTAGGTGATGGAATGAAATATAAGTTCCAAATGAGAATAGCTGACATCTTAGCATCTCAAGAATCCCAACCATGAAGTCTACACCTCCTTATATGGCTCAAAACAGCTGTCAAAGACTTCATAGATTAGTGACAGGTTTTGATTTGACCACTCCCAACTCTTTTCCAGCCTAATCCTATGTTAAATAATATTACTCAGTGAAAAAGGCGGTGATTCGTCATGCGCACCATGTGTCCTAGCCATCTTAGTCGATGTATCTTCACAAACTCATCGATTGACTTCCTTTCCTTACTTAGCACTCTGCGCTCAACCTGAATTATACTCATCGTGTTATACCAGTTAAGGTGGGAGATAGAACGCGACCATCTGTAGTCAAAGGGAGCTAGCCTTTTTATATCTTCCACTTTCAATGACAATTTCTGGCAGCCATCAGGGAGGAGAGAGTGAACTGCTGTGCCATATATACATCCTTTAACCCATAGCTGAATATTACATCTATGTCAGAGATGAATTAAGTTGGCGAATCCCACATGAGCTTTTTGTATCTGTGCTGAGTTTGTGTCAGCGATCAGTCCTTTTGGGATGAGGCCACTCGTTTTCATCCCACTGTTAATATTCTGCTAAAGGTAAAAAGTTAATCATAATATTCAGTAGGTTCACTGAACTGATAAGGAAGTGAGGTAAGATGGATCGTAAGAAATTTTTGTCTTGGTGATGAGCAGCTCAATTTTGGTGGTATTTCTAAAATACTTGGTTTGTCATTTGATTAGAAGTACAGCTGAAGGGAAATGTTATCATGAATGTTGCGAATATTCTAAGTGCTCCAAACACATTTTATAAGTTTTTGAATATACTCCTCAATTGTCAGATAGTTCTCGATGAATGGCCGGCATCGACACTACAGTTGGATGAAATAAAACAGTTACAATTTTAAACCTATAGATTTCTAAAACAACAGATTGAGTGAGCATAGAAGTTAATTCTTTTTCAGTTGGCTCATTCCCATCGGCCCTACGCTATGCATCAAAATTTTACTAATCAAGTCAGTTGTAGGTATAGGCGGTTGAAATTAAGGGTTAAGAGTCATCAAAACAATTAATTATTTAATTTTTTTTATTTTTGATTACAGCTTGATTTCACACCGTATTTTTGGTACATGTATGGAATTTTCAGCATGGATATCGGTAGCCCAAATTTGCAGGCCGACCATAGATATCAGGTGTGTGTCGGCAGGGGTCGAACCTTTGACCATGTGCATGGTCGGCGAGAGTCCTAACCACTGTGCCACCGAGATATCTAACTTTTGAAGGAGGGGTGAAAATAATTACGGAATTCAAAATAAGCTGATTCTTAGGCGTTAGCAACAGGTTATTATGTAATCAAGAAGTTTGGAAAATAATGATAATTAAGCAAAATAGGGTAGCCTAGTAGACTTACGTAAAATACAAACAAGTTAATAGGATTAGCTAGAATTGTAATCATAATAAAATAACAAAGTTAAAAGGGAGTTACAAGAGGAGGGGAAAGTCATTTTTAAAAACTTAATACATATTATGTAGTTGACCATGGCAGAGAAAGGGGATGTACAAATTTCTTTTGAATACAGATTTGGCTTGTTCAGATGAATTCCAATTGCCTCTTCTGTATATAACAGTTGTACTCGTAGACCATGCGAGAGATTGGGTGGAATACGATAAATAACTTTAAAAGCCTTGTTAGAATCAACTTGATGTTCAGTATTGACAAAATGAGCTAGTATTGAGCTGTCTATGATCACAGGTGCCTGCGTTCTATCTCCCGTGTGAAGTGGCAATATTGAGGTTAGGCGTCGAGTTCTAAGTAAACAGGGGAAATCAATCGACGAAGTTGTGAAGTTACAAAGACTGAGATGGTTAGGACATGTGTTGCGTATGCCTAGTCATTGCCTTCCTTGACAATGGGCAATGTTAGCGGATATAGGGTCAAGGTGGAAAAAAGCTAGCGGCGGTCAAACGAAAACTTGGCACCAGTCAATGAAATCTACAACAGTTAGTCTAAGCCACGTAGGAAGATGTAAACTTCCTGACTGGTTGGGTTCCTCGGGACGGTAAAAACAAATGGTTGGAAACAATTGGTGACATGGCTCAAGATCGTTCTCAGTGGTGAAGATGCATCCACTCCTTGTGATTTATGATTTCCAATGAAACTGTTTTGTTCTTCGTTATTACTCTTCCTTTGTCTCACACCTCTGCTTACTGTCTCTATTATGCATTTCTTGTACTTTATTCTCTTGCTTTGTGTGCTACATGGAGTGTGGCGACTTGAACTTCCGCGCATTTGTGCAAAGTTCTATGTTGAAAACAGACAGACAGATTGAGCTGCGTAAAGCTTTATTTGGACCTTTGCCAAAGCGATATGAAAAGTGTTTAAAAACTCGATGATGAACTTGTCTAGTCTTACGCCTAATGTAGCTAGTTTCGCATGAGCAGTTACACGGGTAAATACACACCTAAGAGGCGAAACAGAGCAGTTAGTCTTTATTTCTTGAATTAAGTATTAGTTGGCTAGTGAATATACAGCATAACTAAGCTGCGTTGAAAGTCCTTTTGAAGGCCCTTCTCACACGTTGGGATAAAGTTTCACTATTGACATCCCGGGTGAATTGTAATCTTAGAAAGACTGGATTTTTGGGAACAGTGGGCACCTTCGACATTTTACTTGCTGAGTTCATGTGTTCAAAAATTTAGTCTGAAGTCTGTTTCTCCTTAGTAGATCACGAATATTACCGAGTTCTTCGTTCAGTGTTTCATTTGAACAGGCAACTCTAGTCCAGTGAACCAAACATATTACCAAATTACGTTTGTATTATAGAGCCATGAAACTCAGGCGGTGAGTATACCGTCTACATCGTCTACATATTGTTCCTTCTGTTCACTAAGTGGTTACGACGTCCAAAAAGAGACGGAGTTATTTTCTTCCTCTTCTTTAGTGAAGCTTAATGCACGGTGTGCTTTATTGAATTTTTCTAATGCGTGCTTAGTCTCACTTTCTTTCCTCATAACCATAAATGTATCATCGGCATATCGGCTATATAAATCAAGATTGTATATTACATCTTTAAGGGGACCATTCTCTAGTTTTCGCCAGGAAGAAATCTGTTGGGATTTTGGGCCTACTGATGACCCCATGGTAACACCATCTGATTGTCTATACATTTCTTTACTGAACAGAAAGTTCATGTGCATTGTACACTTTAGAAGAAGTTCCTTTAGGTAAGACACACGAATTCCTTGCCTATGTAATCAACTGTTTCCATCAAGGGCACATTGGTGAATAAGGAAGATATATCCAGTGATATCATGTATTTATCCTTCATACTTAATTCCTTGATTCTTTCTACAAACTCAAAACTATCTTTTACTCTATTTTTCACAAGTTTCTTATGCAATGGCTGTAAAAGTTCCACCAGTCATTTCGTAGTTGAATGGTTTGGTGAGCTAGACATATGGAGGAGCGGTCTAAGCGGCAAGTCGTTTTATGAATCTTCGGTAAGCCGTATAACCTCGGTGTCACTGTGCAGACAGGTTCTAGTGTTTCATACAAGGCAGGTGGAATATGGCCTTGTCATTTCAACATTTTTAAAGGCTGTTAACTGTCTCTCAGTCTTCTCCGTTGTGTCTTTGTTGGTTGATATTTTCCGAAATATAAGTCCATCACTTATTAAAGTCTCTGTTTTACCAAAGTGATCAAACTTATCCATGATAACAACTGCTGAGTCTTTTTCAAGTGTATAGATCACTATATTTTCACTTAATCTCAATTGCTTTAAATAAATCTCTATTCATTGCCACCATATATTTACAGGACTAATTATTCTCAAGTGTTAGCGCAGATACAGGCGATCTGTAATATGTGTTGCTCGACATACATTACGTTTAAATTCAGTCAGCTGCGTGATCGCCTGCTTAAATGTGCACACACCATAGCGATGCTTGACTTAAGAAGTTTTTGAGGCTATGTTGACAGGAGCTGAAATTATCGAGTAAGTGATACTACTGCTATTCGTGGCAAATTGGTTTAAGCATTCAACCCATAGCCAATGGGTTTCGGGTTCGAATCCCGCTCCACCTACCTCAACCTGGACACCTTGACAGTATCACCAGCTACTATACAATAACTATGTCCTACAGTTCAATACGTGGAAAATCTGTTCCTGGCTAATTGAGTTTCAAGAAAATTTCTACTCATGGTGTTTGGATGTAGGAAGATAAGTTAATTACTGACACTAAACGTTTGAGATGACCTGATTGTGTGTTGCATATTCTAAATCACCATCTGCTTTGAGAGTATATCCAAAGTAATCTAGGATGTATATATTTTTTTTCAATATTTAATTTAATTCAATTTAATTCTACTTGTATGTAGTGACTAGTGTGAATTCATGATACATATGGAATCAGCATTAGGAATCTTGATGTAATATTTCGCTGAAGGAGAATAATGTTTCCAAAAGAAATTTGTTCATTATTACTGACAGCTTACCAAAGGGAATGCTGTTTTTATAGAATTATTTTATTCTACAACACATTTCGAACAGTCTGATCACACACGGACTTGTCATAGGAATATACATATTATTTATTTATATATTATATTTATTAATTTCATATATATTCCTATGACAAGTCCGTGTATGATCAGACTGTTCGAAATGTGTTGGGCGCAAATGCATTACACGATTCAGACAAACTACGTCTTCTTATTGCTTTATCTAAATTCATTAAGGGAACTAACTGTTTTAAGTATTTTATTCTAGTCAATTATTTAGTGCTATAACTTACTGATTGTATTTGTTGATATCTAGTTAAATTTAACTTTGACGGAATATGTGTCAATTTAAAAAAAAAGATGTTAGATATGTTGTGAAATTTCATTCTATTTGTAGCAGCTACGTCAAACTCCGCTTCTTGCTAGTAGATCAATTGTACGAGCGTGTACCAATAACGAAGTGAATAGTAGTTCTGATACATCAATCTTACAGACAGCTTCATTAAAAAATATTCAAATTATTCATACAATTCCTCCTCAATCAGAGTCGAATCGGCGGACAGAATCTGTTAGAAGTTCAACAGCAGCTAAAATAACAACCAATAATAATAATAATAATAATAACAACAATAGTATGAATTCAACTAAGACATTTAGTTCGCCTATTTTGTCTTCATTTTTATCTCAGTCTTCATTAAATGATCGTCAACGGCATACATCGGCTCCATCATCTTCATCTTTATCACTAAACTCTGGTTCGCGTCAGACTACTATTGATAATCATTTTAAACCACAAAACAAAACTCAGGCTAACAATAACTTTGATAAAGATAGCAACAACAGTATTATTAAAAGCAGTAACATTTCCAATTCAAAAATGAGCCTAATTGTTAAACGTCAATTAAGTGAAGCTGTAGTACCACGTAAGTTTGCTCTATTTACTACTTTTAATTAGATTTTTTGAGTAATAATAATGATAATAATAACACTAGAGCACTTTTATATATATCTCTGTGGCCCAATTTATGATCCAGTCACCTTAAAGTTAATGAAGTCAACAATTCAGACCAATTAACTTGACATCTTACATCGATAATCCTCATCCAGGCATTAATGAAAAAACAAAACATGTAGATCAGCGAAGAGTCTCTTTTCAGCGGCGAATTCATTTTCTTAGCTGTACAATCGCAAATATATTTGTGTTATTTTGTATGCATGTGTACATTAAGTTTGTCAAACAAAATTACAATTGATTATGGTTATTTTAACTAAACAGGTCAAGATTGGTAATATAAGTCAAGAAAATTAGGTGTTAGTGAAATTAGGGTAGTAACAAAGGTGATGAGTTGTCACAAACAGTTGTTAAAAGAAGTTATATAATAATATATGAATAGTTTGATGAGTGAGTTTTACTCATGATGCACATAGGAACAATGTAGGGAATACGAAATTACGTAAGAGTTCTAAATGAATACAAGAATTATAAGCAGTTAAAGAACAGGCAAAGAGATAAAATTAAGTCACCAAAATAGAAAGAAAATCAAATCAAAAAAGTTTTTGCCATGACAGTAGAAGTGGTTGAGTAATCCTCTTTTGTATGCTCAGCCCCGGTTTTTAGTGTGAATGGCCAGAGCTTCAGTGATGCAAAGAAGACGAAACCGTATTGTCTTTGACAGGTTATTGCAATAAGGAGTGCGAAAATTTAACACCTGGTTAACACTGATCATTCCGTTTCAACTAATGCCTCCTTCAAAGTAATCTACAGAGTGAAGAATAACCTATCAAAGGCAATACGGTTTCGTCTTCTTTGTATCGCTGAAGCTCTGGCCATTCACATAGAAAAACCACAATTGTCCATATAAAAGGGGATTACTCAACCACTCCTACTGTCATGGTAACAACTTTTTTGATTTTGATGACTTAATTTTGTTTGCTTGCCTGTTCTTTGATTGCTTATAATTCTTGTATTCATTTAGAACTCTTACGTAATTTCGTATTCCCTACATTGTTCCTATGTGCATCATGAGTAAAACTCACTCATCAAACTATTCATATTATTATTATATAACTTCTTTTAACAACTGTTTGTGACAACTCATCACCTTTGTTACTACCCTAATTTCACTAACACCTAATTTTCTTGACTTATATTACCAATCTTGACCTGTTTAGTTAAAATAACCATAATCAATTGCAATTTTGTTTGACAAACTTAATGTACACATGCATACAAAATAACACAAATATATTTGCGATTGTACAGCTAAGAAAATGAATTCGCCGCTGAAAAGAGACTCTTCGCTGATCTACGTGTTTTGCTTTCATCTTACATCAAACTTGGTTAGATCACGTGATGTTGATTACCCCACCGCCGTCCCCAGTTGATTAGTCATTGTGCTATCACACTCTTGTAAGTGTATGCCGAAGTCTGAATAGTTCACGGATAACGTCTGTGACTACAGCACTAAGCGTTCGCGGGTTTGGATCTTTAAGGTGATATCAATCCCGTTAAGATTGCGGTTACGCTTTGTTGTTGAGTACTAGGAGGCATAAAATCTGGTTACAGGGTTTTGGTGTTGATCACAAAAAACCGTCTAGCAAATATTCTTTCATCGTTTTTCGTATTAATTTTCTTCAACTCTTAATCATTAAGTGGATTTCCTTGGATTTAATTTATCTGGGCACTTCGTTTCTATACTGGTGTAATCAGGTTGTAGAAAAGTAAACTAGCAGTAGTGACCATTTCTGTTTACAGTCATTTTTATCTAATAACTGGTTGGAATGTGATATCTTAGATTTCAGATTCAAGTCTCAAGAAGACAGAGACGTTGAACAGGGTAATGATCTGTTATCATTTTGTTAGTCATAAACTGGTTACAGATGACCTTAGGTGACCATTTATTTATTTATTTTATTTTATTTTTTTTGATTACAGCTTGATTCCACACTGTATTTTTGGTATAAGTATGGAATTTTCAGCGTGGATATCGGTAGCCCAAATTTCGCAGGCCGACCATAGATATCAGGTGTGCGTCGGCGTGGGCTCGAACCCCAGACCATGTGCATGGTCGGCGAGAGTCCTAACCACTGTGCCTCCGACGCACCGGTGTTAGGTGACAATTCCCGATAGTGTTAGTCACCTAAACAATCACATTTGCAGCTGTAGCTGTCTTACTGGCACTTAATTTATGGTATATTCATAAATCTGACTACCGATTTTCGCACATTTTGGTTGAGCTTTCTAATTTAACACAATGTATATGAATTTTAACTGTAGTTGGGTATTATCATAGGGCGTTGTTTTTAACGAATTATACGATATTTGTTGGGATGGATAACCTATAAAATTCATTAGGAAGATCAGTAAAGGCCAAAAACAAAATAAAAGTAATTGTGGAACTAGTAATGATAACATAAATAAGAGAGAATATAAGTCATCCACTGTTATACCATATAAAGAGGTGACATCTGAGACCCTAAGTAGGATTCTTAATAAAGCAGGAGTTAGGGTGGCATTCAAACCTACAAACTCACTCATGGACAAGCTCTGTAGGTTAGAGGAGCCGATTGGCCCAATTAGACAAAATAATATAATTTACAAAATACCTTGCAATGACTGTTAGTGAAGTCAACTGCATAGGTCCAACTTAGTAGGTTGGGGGTAGTCATATTATGAGAACATAAGAATTTAGCTAAGGGAAGAATGGTTGACCCTGAAAATATAAGTAATTTAGAAAAAACAAGCTCAGCAATTGCACTTCACGCACTAACAAACAACCACACAATAGGATGGGATAGAGTTAAAATTCTAAAAAGCAATATAATTAGGTGGAGAGAGAGGTCGATTACGGAATCCTTGTTCATCGAGTCTACACCCAACACATGCAACAGAAGTGACTCAATGCAAACACCAGAAATATAGAAGATATTATTACCGCCGGTCAAATCAGAAGAGGACAACAAATAATCTTAAAATTCTATTTCAAATCAAACACATCACAACATTCTAACAAGTAACTTATTATGACTATAAAAACACTCGTCTTATTTCCCACCTAATTGTAATTGATCAATAACACTCATATTATTATTTCTGAATGCACATTATCTCATATTGAATTTTATTCCAATATCTAATCGATTCCACACATGTATATAAATGAAGGAAAAAAGTCGTGTGAGTAACTTGATATGGTTATGAGTGGCAATAGTTTGTGCTCGAAACGTCATCAGTTAATATTACTGTCCAACACCACTGTGTGATTTATCAAAATGAAATCTTATCCATAATGGAGTTATGGATAACCTATCGTTGCTAGTCGTGATGTTATGCATTGACGCATGTATTGACATGATAACTTAATCGGACAATTTTTGATTGGGTTATTTTTGGCTTGAATTTCCGAGGATTTGCAGTGATACAACCAATCAGATCTGTATATTTATTTGGGAGTAATAACACGTCATTTTTATCGCAGTTATATCAGACCTTTGTGTCTATCTCAGTGTGGAGAATATTTTCAAGTGATCAGTTGGTTATAATGTCGTGCCTAAAGGCTCATCCTAGTGAAGTTAGACGACAACCATTTCGTTATCTGTCTGTCTGTCTGTTTTCGACATAGAACTTTGCACAAATGTGCGGAAGTTCAAGTCGCCACATTCCGTGTAGCACGCGAAGCAAGAGAAGAAAGTACAAGAAAAGCATAATAGAAACAGTGAGCAGAGGTGTGAGACAAAGGAGTAATAAAGAAATACAAAACAGTTTCATTGAAGATCATAAGTCACAGGGAGTGGATGCATCTGCGCCACTGAGAACGGTTTTGAGCCATGTCACCAATTGTTTCCAACCATAGATTTTTACCGTCCCGAGGACCCCAGCCTGGAAGTCTACACCTTCCTACGTGGCTTAGACCAACTGTTGTGGATTTCATTGACTGATGCCAAGTTTTTGTTTGACCGCCGCTAGCTTTTTTCCAGCCTGACCCTATATCCGCTAACATTGCTCGTCGAGGGAGGCGATGGCTTGGCATACGTAACACATGTCCTAACCATCTCAGTCTTTGTAGCTTCACGACTTCGTCGATTGATTTCCCCTGTTTACCTAGAACTCTACGCCTAACCTCCATGTTGCTCACCTTATTATGCCACTTTACACGGGAAATAGAACGCAGGCACCTATGATCAAAGACAGCTAGTCTTTTCATGTCTTCCACTCTCAGTGGCCAGGTCTCACAACCATAAAGGAGGACGGAGCGGACTGATGAGCAGTACACCCGCCCTTTGGTCGATAGTCGAACATCTCGTCTACGCCAGAGTCGGCGTAAACTAACAAATGCGAAACGAGCCCCTTGTATTCGTGCTGAGATTTCGTCAGAGATCAGCCCGTTGGGGCTGATGGTACTTCCCAAATAAGTGAAGCGGTCAACGTGCTCTACCACTTCACTTCCTATTTTTAAACTAGGCGTCGATGTAGTCCAGTCCTGTAACATCATCTTGCATTTGGCGGGAGCGAATCGCATGCCAAACATTCGTAGATTGCGGCTCAAGGTGTTTAGAAGACTCTGCATTTCGTCAGCGTCTTCGCCTAGAAGGACTATATCGTCTGCATATTCCAAGTCAACGAGATTATTCCCGGTAGCAAGTCAATCCCTGAGTCGCTGAAGTCACCTAGGGTTAAGTCCATTAACACATCTATGATGAAGTTGAATAGAAAAGGAGATAATGGGCATCCTTGACGGACACCACTGGTCGTCATCAGTTCAGATGACAGCTCGCCGTAAGCCCTCACCTGGCTGTATGAGTACGAGTAGAGTGCCTTAATCAGTGCAATATATTTTCTTGGAATTCCCTTTACAGCCAAGCATCTCCAGAGAACTTCCCGATCGACAGAGTCGAATGCTGCCTTTAGGTCAAGAAATATAAT